GCAACTCTAATAACCTTAGTAACTCTAATAACTTAACTAAAAGCACTTACCTATGCTACTTAAGGCCGCTTGCCCGCGTGTACTTTCATCATATCCAAGAGTATCTTTACTACTACTAGCACCTTATAGAAACCGTCTTGTATAGCGTTGTAACGAAAGTGATGAAAGGATATTAAAACGATCAGATCTTCGTAATAGAAAAGGCCGTAACGAAAAAGAGAATGCGAACTAAGGATATTTGCGTAGAGTAAGTAAATCAAGATATGGATGGCTAGGTTTCGACGGGGAATATCGAGGTAAAAGTAGTAGCTTTCGAAAGGAAGCGCGTAACGGCGAAGCTATAATAAAAGCACGGCGAAATCGACCTCGAGGTCTTTTTGCTAGCTGATTATCGCTAGACGAAAGCAAATTATGCTTTGCTCTAATCGTGGACTTCTGCGACCTAGTCTTCAATCTGCAAGTGTTATAAATAGCGAAAACTTTACCTTAATCCTCATTTTAAAAAGACGTAATAAATTAATAGATATTTTTAAATACACACCGAGCTTAAGAGCAGATTCGAGTCTCTATGATGCAAGTCAAGTATTATTGCAACAATAGTTGTAGCAATGATAGTTATAGCAATAAAAGTGATTGCAAAAATAATTATAAATAACGAACGTAAAGTAGATATCAGTATAAGGCATTGATATAGCAAAATCGATAGCGGTAACTGAATTAAGCTTAGCTATAAGACATATTTAATTCGAGCCGACCTTTTTCGAAATCTAAAATTATTTGCCGACATTTCTTTTAGCATTGCTTAGAAATCTTGCTAGATCGGTATAAAATAATCTCACGTGATTAGATGACTCATCACTACCACAACTACTAGATGATTCATTACTACTACGACGATTAAATAACTCATCACTACTACGACGATTAGATGACTCATCACCACCACAACTACTAGATGACTCATTATCACTACAACTACTAGATAACTCATCACCACCACAACTACTGGAATTTATCTTAGGTCACCGTTGGTAACAATAATTAAAGTTATAATACTAAAAGTAATATATAAATTAAATAAAAGAGCAATAATAAAGAAAAAGAAAGCATAAAGCATTAAGGATTAGCTTACCTTTCGCAATGCTTAAAAGACAAGACGCTTTTTAAAATCGATTTAGATTATTAAAAATTAAATTAAAAATTTCGCAAAGATTGCTCGCTCTTTTAATCGGCTTATAAGCGGAGTAGACTAAACGTAAAAAGAAGCAGAATGCATATCTTTTAATATCTTAAAAGACTTTTGCAATAAAGCTTTAAAACGATTCGGCTATATACTTAATAAACCGATGCTAATATATACAAATGCGAGTGCTTATATTAAAAGATGCTGCATTATTTAAATACAAGATAACGAAGACGAAGCACCTTTGCTTTTTAATAGCTTTACTTTAACGAAAACATAACGCTAATATAAGATATATAAAAAAAAGCTGCTAATAATAATCGAATTCTGCCGCAAATACAATTATATGCTAAAATGCGATAAAGCAAGCATAGTGTTCACCGATTATAAATTATTAATATACTTTTTAAATTTTAAGTTAGCATAAGAAAAGATTTACGCAAGATAAGCTTACAAGCTAAAGAACTTTAATATAATAATATAATACATCGAAAGCTATAAAAACTAAATTGCCGACGCTTTATTTAAAACGATCTTCTTAAGAAATAATTATCGAGGTTTAGAATTCGAAAGGTTCGGAACGATTTCGAAAATAAATAAAAATAAAGTTTAAATCTAAAAAAACGAAAAAAAAGAATATAAACAGCTGCTAAAAGAAGTAAAAAATTTATTAAAAGACTTAAAATTGAAAAAGGTTAACGCAATAAGATATATGCTAAAACTTAAGTCTATTTTACAATTATCCGAAAGAGCTTAAAAAGACGTTAAGTTTGTATTAGCTTTATATCGAGCAAAAAGACCGAGATACGTTATTAAATTAAAATCGATATTAAAAAAAGGAATCCCGATATTAAACCACTTGCAATCGATGCTTACTTAAACTAATATAATGCTCGACCATTTTTTAAAAACACTAAACATAATTCTTTCTCGAAAAAAAGCTTATCGATAATGCTCGTAATATATAAATATCTTTAATTTAATTGCTTACGGCATTTTCTTTATAAACTCGAACAAAATTAAGCAAAAGAAACTGCAAACGAAAGCGAGCTCTTATAAGTAAAAAAAGGAAACATTATAATATTATTAAAAGCAAGTGTAAAGAATATATTTAACGCTCGGAGATATTAAAAAAGCGCTTCGGACGGCTTATAATTAAAGAGGTCACTTCGCTATTATTATTATTATAAAAAAGTTAAAAAACGTATAATAGCTTATTATAACTAAAAACGTATACTTATATATTTTAAAATGCTTAAATTGCGCGAAGCATAGCACCGCTATAAGATCTTAACTATTATTTAATATAATAGTCTTAAGATCGATAGAACTTTTTAAAGCAAACTTTTGCGGACCTTTTTTAAGAGTATTAAAAACATTTCGGTTCTTTTTAATTATTATAAACTACTTTTCGAGATTCATTTAAGCGTTCTTTTATATCGCACTCGATTTAAAAAACGTTATACGTTATCTTATAAAGCTATTCGACTAAAATAAAACGCTAATCGGATTTTATATCGACTTCGATAGCTATTTTAACGATACAATTCGGAATTTTATAAGCAAGAAAAAAGTCTTGTAAACCAATTCTTTATTAGCATTAAAGAAATCAATAAGCATAGCGGAGAAAGCGGTCGATATAATGCAAAGAGCGATAGCGAAAACTAAAAAAGCATTCGAAAACAAATTTAAAAAGGTGATATTCGAAACGAACGCGAAAAAGATTCTTTACTTAAAGTACTTATTATTTAAAATCTATCGAAAACACACCTTTAAAGCAATAATAGACTTAGCTTTTTTAGCGTATTATACGAAGATCATTTACGAAACACTTTTAGATAAAAGGTTTTTAAACGAACTATAAAGAGCAGACTTTGCAAAAACAAAAAATTAAAAAAACGCCGTTTTAAAACATATCGCGAAGCACGAAGTCATTAAGCAAAACGTTCGAAAGAGCTTTAAAAGAAAAAAATCATTTTTTTAAAAGGTTAAAAGCTTATTATTAAGATCTTTTATAATACTATACGATTAAAAAGCAGCTAAGCAAAAACTTAGATTATCTTAAAAAGGCTTATTTAAGGTATTAAGCTTAAAAGGTAAGCATAAGAGATCATATACTTTAAAACAAATCAATAGAAAAGCGATACTACAACACTTTTATATAAACTAACTTAAGCTATTTTACTTGCGGACTTCTTATTTAATAATAAAAGAAGAAAAGAGATTGCTAACGTACTAGAATCTAAAGGCTAGCACTTCGAAACACTCGCTGCTATCGGAGCTTAAAAAAAAGAGGAAGAAAAAAGAAAAGTTAATTAAAACGGTCGCAAGATATTAAAAAAAGTAAAGAGATGAAAAGAAGATAGAGTTTAAAGATTTTAATAAAAGTTATCAAAGAATATTAATATTAGCGCAAAAGAAACTAAGAAGCGAATGAAGAAAGAAACTATAAAAGTTAAGCAACGATACCTTAACGGAGTTTAAAATTCTTTTAAAAAGAGTAATAAGCATTAAGCACTTAATTAAAAAGGAAGGTCCTCGGGTCGAAAACCTCGTAAGATAAGGTTATGTAATAGCTTGAGGCTATCAGGCCTATTAGAAGCACGTGCACGCTAAAAGAGGTACATAGACTTCTCTCACCAAAGAGAACTTGGAAATATCATCCTTTTCACACAACACGGTCCCCCCCCCACCACTGAAGTGAGACGCTTTACAGTACTAAGTAAGTAAGGTATTAAGAGGGAGGTCAAGCGCAGCGAAGCGGTGCGGTGGCTAAGCGCACCAATCAAAGAAAAGAAAACACCATCTGACAAGAGCGGGTACAGCTCCTCCCAGCTTCACGGACTTTTCCCTTTCCTTCTCCTTCTCCAACCCTTTCTGTTTCCAATTCCTCCGCAGCTCGTGGCGATTTTGTTGAATCGTGTACACGCAAGCAAGTAAGAGTGATAAGGTAAGTACGCAAGCGAGATCCGCGCCGGCCCGTCCCGCCTACGTAAGTATTGGAAAAGGATAAAAGAGAGTGTCGAAGATCCGTCGAGTGGTAGAAAGGGATCGCGATTGGCTCTAAAATAAAATTTACAGCCGCGCGCCCATATGACGGACCGCGTATCTAAGCTTTGGTACAGTAAGTAGTATTTGATGTGGGCATCCTTTTTAAAGGGGGGTACCGACCGTTTTCTTTTCGCCTCTTTCTCTCCGAATGCTCATTCAGCGGAGGCAGGCTTGTTTGTGAGAAGCGCGAGACGGGCTTGTAGCAGCTGGTGTTTCTCTTTTCACTCGTCAGATTTATCGCTGACTTTCTTTCTATCTAGGCAGCGTTACTTCTTCCGCCTTTGTTGATCTAGGCTGGGTTTCTTATTTTTGGCCGAGTGCGTAGTAAACGATTTTATCGGGTGGAGAGGGCGTGGTGAAATGAAAGAGAATATTTTAATTTTGATACGTAGAGTCGTTCAGCTCTGTCAGGTTAATTTATCGAAGCTCTGGGCACTTGTTATGAGTAACGCTATTTATCCGAACCACCATATCTCACTTCATCTTCTGTCATCGCTTTCCTTTTCTTTCCTTTTCTCTTTTTTTCTCTTTTTTTCTTATTTTTTCTTATTTTTTCTTTAATTTTTTTTTTTTTTTTTTTTTTTTTTTTGTTTTTTTTGTTTTTTTTCTTGTTTTTTTCTTCTTTTTCTTCTTTTTTCTTCTTTTTTTCTGTTTTTTTCTTTTATCCTGAGGGATTCAAGCGCCAAACCTCCGCTCCTTTCCATGGTATTCCGTGCAATTCAATCCGTTATCTGGGCTTCAGGGGTGGTCCACAGAAGAAAACAGAATGTCTCATGCCCCCCGGCTTCGGGTGCCACGAGAAGCTGGCAGAAAGCGTCGGATATATGCTGTGTCATAGGCGAGTATGCTCTGTCCAAATCCCTACGCCGCTATACCATCGATGCGCGGCTCTTATACAACACAGTCCAGTATTGTATGGGGTAAATGGCGGAGACAGGCCCGCGAACGTCAGCAGACACAATTCAGTACAGCAGATGGTGCGGCGTTCGCGCGAAGAAATGCCGACACAGAAAAGCAGGCAGAGTGGCACCGCAGCGGGCGGGTGCATGTGCCACGGGAGCCGGAGCTGAAGCTGACGCTGGAGCGGAATAGACCAGTATAGAAATACATGTGCGGTGTGTCGCAGTATCTGTCTGGTCTGGCGAGGCGTCTCTGGAGGCGTATCGGGGTGCACTCGCAGTTTTGCTTGCGGCTTCAGTCGGGTCGGTCAGTCAGGCTGCGGGGATCCGAATCCTCATGGGGCGAGGGCGAGGGCGAGGACGAGGTACCGGTACAAGGTCCTACGTAGATGTGCAATTTCGAGAAGCTTCAGTGCAAGCTTAATCAATCAAGCATCGTCGCGTGCGGTGCATCATCCACTTGTTGTTTAAGCGCGAAGCATGGATCAGCATATAGTACTATACCTTGGGTATATACTGTATATATGTGTGTATATATATATACCCAGCCTCATGGGTATATATACTGTACTGATATACCCATGCATTTGCACCCCTCCACAAGTCCTGATTGGGATATGATGCCACGCGATTTGCTGACGGGTTGCAGTGCAAGTACAGCGGGACGAGAGGGCTCGTCTGTGGCACGAAAAGGGGGTGCGTCTTTGCCGAGGCCATCCTCTCTCTCTACTCGGTGTTGCGGTGGGAAGGTCGACAGATAGTTACGCGTTACGTATCTAAGGAACATGCAGATGCGAAGATGCGAAACAGTGGGCAGTCTGGAAAGGGGAGACACCGCAACTGTACTGTTACTGTATCTGCTGGCTGGACATAGGGACAGAGGAGGTACTCGGTGTTGTTTACGGCCTCGGAGCAGAGCAAAGAAAGGGATGGCCGTCTGAGTCTGGCTTGATCCCAGCTATCGCGTGGCCCCGGCGGCATTATCGCATGATGGTCGGATGATGGATGCTTTTAGTCGTACTTCTGTACTGTACGTATACCGGTAACCTCCAGTAACGAGAACTTCATCGCCGTCTACATAGCATCGACTCTGTACATTTACAGTAGGGCTGCCTCTAATTTCCATCTCTCTCGGCTACGGTACAGTAATCTAGATGACCCACTACCGGTACTGTCCTGTACTTACTGTACCGATCTCCCCTCTGGCTGGGCCCTTTCTGGCCCCACCGTCCCCCGTCCCCATCCCCGTCCCCATCCCCATCTGCGTCAAAGCCCCACACTGGATCTCTAGGCAGCAGTCAATCAATATTACAGCACAGCAGCGAGAAAACCTCCACTCCCTCTCCTCTCTCCATCCTCACCATCACCACCATCACCACCACCACCACCACCACCTCCTCCTCCTCCTCCTCCACCTCCTCCACCACCAACCACCACCCCCACGAATCCATCATCCATCATCCATCATCCCATCCCGCCGCCCCAGTGGCCACGCACCGGACACGCGTACCCTCCCCGTCCCGTACCGTTGTCGACCTGGGATCCCCTCGTGTCTAATATACCCTCGGCCTCGTCGACCACGCCAGGCAGCAGCAACAGCCTTAACCTAGGTACCTACCGTGCCGCTCGACCTCCAGGCCTCGCCAGTGCCACTGATCGTCGTGGACAGTCCAGCCAAACAACAATAATACCAAACACACACACACACATACCCTCGCCTCGGCGATTGCTTCCAGACTTGCCTTGCCTTGCCTTGCCTTGCCTTGCCTTGCCTTGCCCTACCTTACCTCGCCTCGCCTCGCCTTACCAATAACCTCCGGCGGGTGCGGGATCCCCCGAAACGTACGTTCCCCTCGTCTTCCTTCTCATCGCTCAATCAGTCGCGGCAACCCAGCAAGGCCCAGGGCCAAATCAGCCCCGACCGATATCCCCCCTTCATCTCCTCCTCGCCGAGGGCAACATCTTCTTCATTCATCCGTTCAGTCATTCCCGATCAGCAGCTCCGCCAGGCTGGATTGGGGCCATTGCCTCGCTCCGGGGCCTCGGTGTCAATTGGGCTGTCACGATTGCACTGTGACTCACTCGCTGCTCTGCTCTGCGCTGCTCTGCTCTGCATGTATCAATCAGGAATAGAACCAGGACCAGGACCAGGCTAACCGCATCCCAGTGAGCCAAAAACACCCACCCCCCTCGAGCTCGAGCTCTTCCTCTCCCCGGCCACTCACCATGTCGTTCAGCCATCCCCGTCGCACTACAAAGATCTCATCGACTGCTCCCTCTCCCACCTCCGCCTCCTCCTCCTCCTCCTCCTCCTCCTCCTCCTCAAGTGCGTCCGGCCGTCTCGCTGTGAATACCACCAACATGTTGCTCCGCAAGGGGGCCACCTTCCACTCTCCCACCCCCACCCACCCCGAACTGGAACTCCCGTATCACTTCAGGGCCCCCGCCCTGCCCCGCCGCTCGCAGACCACGCTCGAGGATGTGGTCGACGCCCACAAACGTCGAGTCGCCTTAACTCTGGGAGACATCGACCGCGGACTCGCAGCTGTGGAAGATCCGGTCACGGCCAGACAATCATTCCCCGACGAGGCCAATCCCGTCCCCCAGGGATTCCTCGATCACACCGTCGGGACGCCAGCTACCCAACCCCACGGTCCCACGATGGCGGGCGTGATGGACCAGGAGCCTGCCGCGAGCCGACGCTCCTCGCGCCTGCGCCGTGAGCGCCACCCTTCGACATACTCAGACAGCGGTCTGGGATCCTCGATCGGCTCCACCTCCGGGAAGAAGGCGACGGCCACACAGCCAACCAGTGTCGCCGAAGAGGAGCCCGCCAGGTCCCTCGTCACCGCGTCGGCTATAACTAGATCGCCCGCGGCCCACTCTTCCACCATCCAAAACCTCCCCCGGCTCAGTGGTCGTGCAAGCAACCGGATCCACGAGCACATTCTGCGGCCGCTCCTCGCCAAGCCGTCCCTGCAGGACTTCTACCCCCTGGTTAAGGATTGCCCCAGAAGGATCCATAGTAAGGAGATCGTCTGTCTTCGTGATCTCGAGAAGACGCTGATCTTCATGGCACCCGTAAGTGAAACCCATCCCGATGTGGTCAGGGGACTTGCTCACTGGTTTTCGCGTCGGAAGGAGAGAGCCAAGACGGCCGCCTTGTATCTCGACTTCTGCCTCACGTCTATCCGGTGCATCCAAGCGACGGTCGAATCTCTCAGCGATCGCGAGCAAACCCGTCCACACGACCGCCCGTACACGAACGGATACTTTGTCGATCTCGTCGACCAGATTAAGCAATACGCCCAGCAGGTCCAGGCCGCCAAAGAGAGGGAAGAGAAGGGGGAGAAGATGGGCGAGATGGACCCTGAAACGTATGTGTACCTTTCTTTCTCCGAGCGCTTGGCCGGTGAAGCTCGCTTCTTCATGGAAACGGGCGAGAGTGACGCACCGGAGCTCCGCGCATCCCGCAGCCTCCCCCCCCCCAACCCAAACGCACGACAACAAAGCTCGCTGACCACCAACACAGAACGGACCAGATCCTCCTCCACGGAGGTCTCACCAAGAACGGACGTCCCGCCGAGCTGGTGCGACTCAAGAAGAACGGGAAAGCGATCTCCATCGCGACAGGCCTCCCCGTCGACATGGCGGAGGACAGTAAGGACATGCGGTTCAAGCGCTCCTTGAGTGAGGAGGCGGAGGAAGACGAGTCGATCTTGCGCTCGATGGCCCGCCGCAAACGATCTGCGTCGGCGGCCGAGCTCGCCCCCAAACGCTGCCGTGAACCTGGATGTGACAAGGAATTCAAGCGCCCCTGCGATCTGACCAAGCACGAGAAGACCCACTCGCGCCCGTGGAAGTGCCCGGTTGAGTCGTGCAAGTATCACGAGTATGGCTGGCCCACCGAGAAGGAGATGGATCGACATCACAACGACAAGCACTCGTCTGCGCCGCCGATGTACGAGTGCCATTTCAAGCCGTGCCCATACCGCTCCAAGCGGGAATCCAACTGCAAGCAGCACATGGAGAAGGCCCACGGCTGGACCTACGTCCGATCCAAGAACAATCGGAAGAACCGCGACAAGGCTTCTGGGAGCAGCAGCATCGCCCACACCCACACTGGCCTGCCTACTCCCACCATGACCAACATGCACACCCCCAGCAGCGACGAAGTCAACATGGCTACTCCCGACGAGGAGGTTCCGGAGCCGGGTCGCCCACGCTCGAGCTCGGGACGCTCGGGACGCTCGGCCTGGGGATCGAACGGCGACATGGGATTCCCCATCTACCCATCCGACGAAGAGATGTTCGGCCCAGGCATCGCCCTGACTCTGGACCACTCCCCGATCTCCGCGGCCTTGACCTTGCACAGTCGCTCCGCCAACGGCCAATCGCCATTCATGGGCAGCGAGCTTCCTCGAGACCAACTGGGAGGTAACTTGGACAACTTCTCGAACGATGGTGGGAATGGAGACTTTGGCATCTACGAGCCGGAAGACCTCTACTCCGCCAACGTCCAACTGCCTACTCCTTCTCACGATGTCTTCAACACCTTCCACGACATGGGTTTCGAGACCTCTGGCATGACGTATTGTGGTGACTCGCTGGCACACATCTCTCCTGTTGGCCACGGCAACACCATGCTCTACACCCCCACCTCTCTAGGCGACGTCGATGAAGGCTTTGAGGATTTCGTTCCCAACATGAACTGCAGCCTCGGCCACGACTTTCAGCTGTATCCCTGCTCGGACGGTGGTACACTCGCCAACACCGGCCCCAGCGCCATGTTTGAGGAACTTCCCAACCCCATGCACCACTTCGCTGGCCCTTCAGCCCAACAACTTGTGGAACGTTACGCGGTAGGCACGTCCGCAGTCACGGGCCAGCAACACCACATGACTGGCATGGACTGGGCTTTGGACGATCAATTCAACAATGGGTACCAGTAGACTCGGTGACGGCACGGACGGGACTGGTGGAAGTTGTGAGCCGTCACGCATGAATCACCCTCATACGAGAACGACCCCGGATTTGTGGTATCAGCACGGCGTTTCGTCATTTTTCATTCCGCAACGAAGAAGCATAATGGGGGGGGGGGGGACGAATGTGGGAGGGATTAGGATCACAGCACATGGATTTACGACGGATATGGACCGAGGCGAATCTCGACGGGGTTAGATAGCATTTCTTTTCCGCTTTTCCGACTCCGGGGATGGGGATGGGGATGTGTGGAGGGAATCCGCATTCACTTTGTGGTCGTAATTAATCGCCTCTGATGGACGGGATTGGGATATGGATGGGCAGAGGGGAGGACCCGCGGATGAATGAGATAGATCTCGCATCAATCAGCCAATAGTAATGGCTTCTTTGGGTTATGGCAGGAATGCAACCATTTCACCACTCGCCGTTATTGCGCCCTCTCCCCCCCCGACTTTCTATCCTGTGACGTTTCGCTAGATCCAATCTGTTATTTTACTATCGTAAGTTCGAGGTGAAGTGGGTTCGTCAGGGGAAGATTGCAGAATGAAAGAGGGAGGGAGTCGCAGAGTTTTGAACCATTACTAGCTGCCAATACAGCTCGAGAATGAGAGGGTTGGTACCTAATGGATTGGTGACGGTGACGGTTATAGAAGAGAGAATTGTTTTTTTTTTTTCAGATTAAAGGCAGCTGCGAAAACAGACATACCGGCACCCCACGGGGCAAGCCCCTACGCAGCGCTAAATCACGCCCGCGCGCGCTTCTGATCAAGCCCAGGAAGCTCGCTCGCTTTCTTTTCCATGCCCAAGAGCTGGGTGTGCCAATTTCTGCATTCTGCGCACAAGCAAACATAAGCAAGCATAAGCATAAACAAACAAGCTGTCCGTCCTCAACCTGGCGGTACCTGACTTTCTCGACGAGGTTATGGAGGTTGGTTGGTAGGTTGGTAGGTAGGTGGTATCCGGCGTGCGTGCTTCCTCGGAAGCTCTTTTTTGGGGGGGGGGGGGAGAGAGAGAGAGAGAGGA